AGGGAAGGAAGGAAGAAGGAGAGAGGAGTGGAGGATGGTGGAGGGGGGGTGAAGGGAGGGAGGAGGGGAGGAAGGAAGGAAGAAGGAGAGAGGAGGGAGGATGGTGAGGGGGGTGAAGGGAGGGAAGGAGGGAGGAGGGAGAGGGGAAGGAAGAAGGAGAGAGGAGGGAGGATGGTGAGGGGGGTGAAGGAGGAAGAGGGAGGGAAGGAAAGAAGAAGGAGAAAGTGAGGAGGATGATGAGGGGGGTGGAAGGAGGGAAGGAGGGAGGGAAGGAAGGAAGAAGGAGAGAGTGAGTGGAGGATGGTGAGGGGGGGTGAAGGGAGGAGGGAGGGAGGGAAGGAAGGAAGAAGGAGAGAGTGAGGGAGGATGGTGAGGGGGGGGGTGGGGGAGGAGGGAGGGAGGGAAGGAAGGAAGAAGGAGAGAGGAGGGAGGGAGGTGGGGAGGGGGGTGAAGGGAGGGAGGGAGGGGAGGGAAGGAAGGAAGAAGGAGAGAGGAGTGGAGGATGGGGGGGGGTGAAGGGAGGGAGGAGGGAGGGGAGGGAGAGGGAAGGGAAGGAAGAAGGAGAGAGGAGGAGGATGGTGAGGGGGTGAAGGGAGGGAGGGAGGGAGGGAAGGAAGGGAAGGAGAGAGGGAGTGGAGGATGGTGAGGGGGGGTGAAGGGAGGGAGGAGGAGGGAAGAATACGGTGTGAGGAACAGGGAAGGAGGGATGGATAAGTAGATAGGGGAGATAAGGGAGGGAAGGAGGGAAAAAGAGAGGGGTGGTGGGGGAATGAGGGTGGCGAAGGAGGGAAGAGAGAAGGGGGGTAGGGAAGGGGAGAGTTTTATAAGAGGGAAGGAGGGAGGATGAGAGGGAGAGAGATAGAGGCAATGAAAATATCCTCCCCCCCCCTCTCTCTCTCTCTCTCTCAATAAAAATTCTTCATTGCCTCCTTGTAAAAATTTCAGTACATTAAAAAAATCTGCTTTCCTTCTTATTTTTAATGACACCTAATAGAATTTAATATGAGAGTGAGCTAACCTTTGACCGAGAGAGAGTGAACCAGCTAGCTTCTGAGAAAGAGAGTAGGAGAGTGAGTGAGTTTTAGAGAGAGAGGGTGAATGTAGCCCGAGAGAGAGAGAGAGAGTGTGAGATAGTTTTTGAGAGATTGAATCAGTGTTTGAAAGAGAGAGTGAGCTATCTTTAACAAAGACGCCTACAAGCACTGTTGTAAAAAAGACTATTGTTCCCATGTTTGAAAATTCTTGTTGAAGACGAGTCTCTCTCTCACTCTGTCCTTGCCCATCTGTTTATCATTCCTTCCTCCTCTTTCTTCCCCGCCTGGGTTTCTTTTGTCTCAGTATCTCTCCTCCACCTTCCATATGACGACAGTTACCTTTGTGCCGGCCAGAAAAAGTGACATACATACCTTCCTACATCAAAAGTTAGCGGTGATAATTTTAACGTAAGAAACTTTGAGAATCCAAAGTTTGTGTCGTAGCTTTGAGGGAGTCACGTTAGACACCGCTCACCTCTTTGGTAGTGTGTGGGGGGAGGGAGGGGGGTAGAAGGAGGGGAGGGGAGGGAGGAGGATGGGCTAATATACGATGCTCTTGAGATTTCATGTTTGTTTCCTGTGAATTAAATTAAACAAGTAAATCTATTTCTCATGTTTTTGGGGGACGGGGAATTTTTTTTTTAATTGCTGTTTTTGTCGTCAATAAAGTAAGTGATTTGGATTTGTTCTAAAGTCATCAGAGTGAGGGAAGAGACTTGAAGGGAGAGAGAGAAAGAGACAGACAGACAGACAGAGACGGAGAGACAGATAGACAGAGACAGAGATAGAGAGAGTTGACCAGGAAGGGAAGATTTATGGACTCTATACACTTGTGAAATTCAGTAGTATTGGTGTATTGAAAGAGTGTGATATATTGTACGGTTGGTGTAGCAGGTGTGTGGGGGACCTAGTGCTTACATAACTTCACACACACACACACACACACACACACACACACACACACACATACATACATACATGGTTGCTACCAGATGTGACTTCCAGCATTCAAAACCACATCAACACACACACCTGACGAGCATATTCTACTTGAACTTGACCTACGATAATGATGCTGGTAGACAGATCATCCCCTCCCCCTCCCTTCCTCCTCCCCCCTCCTTCCCCTCCTTCCTTCCCTCCCCTGTCCCTCTCCCTCTCCCCCCGTGTGTAGGAGAGGTTTGTCTAAGGAGGGGCGCGTGTAGGTCGGTAGGAAGGAAGCTAGCCGGGGAGGGTCGGGAGAGGGTGAGGCATAGAGAGATGAGGAAGGGGCTTGGAGAGGTGAAGGCGTGGGTGGGGGCGGGGGCGTGGGGGGCGTGTGTGTGTGGGAGGGGCAGAGAGAGAGTCAGGTGTCAGGTTGAACTTCGTCGTGCAAAGTTTAGTGTGTGTGTGAGTTATACATTATGGTGATGAAGGGGTGGAGAGGGGATGAGAAGAGGATGATGGAGGGGAAGGAGGAGGAGGGGGTAGACTGGGAAAGGAAGGAGGATAGGGGGATAGGAGGTGGATAGAATGATGGAAGGGGGAAGAGGAGAAGGAGAGGGTTAGAATGATGGAAGGGGAAGAGGAGAAGGAGAGGGTGGTGTAAGGAAAAGGAAGAAGGAAATGGAAGAGGAAAGGGGAGAAGGGGTATTTAGAAGTAGAAGAAGAAGAGAGGAAGATAGAAAAGGATGAAAGAGCAGGAGAAAGAGTGATGGTGGGGAGGGAGGAGGAGGGGGAAGAGGAGGAGGAGGGAGGAAGAGGAGGATGAGGAGGAAGAGGAGGTGGAAATGCCACGTGATATCGATTTGATGACTTCCCCACTTAAAATTGGTGAAGTAGAAAAAGGGAAGGAAGAATAAGAGATGCAGGAAGAGGAGGAGGAGTAGAGAAGAAGGGAAGGGGGAGGAAGAAGAGGGAAGGGCGGAGGAGTAGAAGAGGGAAGGGGGGAGGAAGAGGGAGTAGAAAGAAGGAAAAGGAAGAGGGAGAGAGGAGGAGGAGGTAGTAGAGAAGAGAGAGAGGAGGAGGTAGTAGAAAAGGAAGAGGGAGTAGATAGGAAGAAAATGGAGATGGAGGAGGAAGGTGTGGAGAAACACTGATTAAGATAATGTGTGTGTGTGTGTGTGTGTGTGTGTGTGTGTGTGTGTGTGTGTGTGTGTGTGTGGGTAGTCATATGAGATTTTAGATGACTTATTCACATTTCCATCATTAACTCTCTCTCCTCTCTCTCTCTCTCTCGTTAATCCACTATTTATTTCTTAAAATCCATCCTTCCGCTGAAGAAGTTTCTTGTTAGATGAGGATAAACAAACAAACAAGTAGACAGACAAAGAAAAACAGAGAGAGAGAGAGAGAGAGAGAGAGAGAGAGAGAGAGAGAGAGAGAGAGAGAGGTTAGAGAAAGGGTTTTCCTATGAGTGCTCTTCAGCTTAAGAAATTATATTTGCATAAATTATCCCAACATCTGACTTGCACTGTCTATGTTTCCTGTGTGTAGTGTGTGTGTGTGTGTGTGTGTGTGTGTGTGTGTGTGTGTGTGTGTGTGTGTGTGTGTGTGTGTGTGTGTGTGTGTACAGGACCTCACGGACGACCCTTCATTTAATCCTGAAAATTAATCAGCATTTATCTTCTTGCCATTCCAAGATGTCTGTAAATATTTAAATCCTCTTCTTAATTCAACTGTCCATTAATTATTCCTCCCTTGACGGTGTTAAATTATTTCTTAACACAACGAGAACAATGGATAGATATTTGAGGTTAGGTTAGGTTAGGTTAGGTTAGGTTAGGTTAGGTTAGGTTAGGTTAGGTGAGTGGTGGTGGTGGTGTTGTTTTTATTATTATTTCTCTCTCTCCCAACTCTTTCATTCTCTATTCTTCCTCTTCCTTCACTCTTTTCTCCTCATCTTTCCTCCTTTCCTCTACTTTATCTCTCTCTTTCTCCCAATCTCACTTCCTCCTCTTCCCTACTTTCCTCCCTTTCCTTTATTTTCATCCCTCCCACTCCCACTCCTCTCCTCAACTCACTCTCCCTTTACTCTCCTCTCCTCTCTCCCACTCCACCCTCTCCCTCAACTCACTCTCCTTTACTCTCCCTTCCTCCTCTCCCATTCCACTCACTCCTCTCCCTCAACTCACTCTCCCTTTACTCCTCCCTTCCTCCTCTCCCATTCCACCCACCTCTCCCTCAACCTACTCCCTCCCTTTACCTCCTCCTCCTCCCATTCCACTTCACTTTTCTCCTATCCTTCCTCCTCTCCCCTACTCTCCCTCTACTCACCCTCCCTCCTCTCCCCCACTCTCCCTTTCTACTCACCCTCCCTCCTCTCCCTACTCTCCCTCTACTCACCCTCCCTCCTCTCCCCTACTCCTCCCTCTACTCACCTCCCTCCTCTCCCCTACTCTCCCTCTACTCACCCTCCCTCCTCTCCCCTACTCTCCCTTTCTACTCACCTCCCTCCTCTCCCTCTACTCTCCCTTTCTACTCTCTCACAGAAGGACGTCAGTAATCATCCCACCTCTTTTCTCACACGATGAAATTTTTGACAAGTATAATGGCACCGCTGTCTCACCTCTCACCCCCCTCACACCACCTCATCTCTCACCCTTCTCACCTCTCACCTCTCTCCCTCCTCACCCCCCTCATTTCACCCCACTCACTTCACCCCTCTCACCCCTCTCACCCCCCTCACCTCTCACCCTTCTCCTCTCACCCCTCTCACTTCTCACCCCACTCACCTCTCACCCTTCTCACACCACCACTCTCTCACCCTTCACCTCTCACCTCTTCTCCTCTTCACCCCACTCACTTCTCACCCTTCTCTCCTCCTCACCCTCTCACCCCTCTCACCTCCTTGACCCGGCACCTTCACTCTACAATAGAGCCAATACACCTGTTGCTACACCGAAGCTCTTCCAGATATTGTAATTATCCTCCCCCTACCACGTCCCTCTTACCCTCTCACGTCCCTCTACTCCCCCTCTCACTTACCTCCTTGACGGGCACTTCACTCTCCATCATCAGGCCATCGTCGGTGCTCTCCTGGGCGTAGTAGTTACTGAAGGGGCCGTTGGTAAGACACACTGACTCCACGTAGCCGCGTGAGGCTCTACGCAACAGATACGCATTCCAACACACGTATCTGAGGGTGAAAGACAGGTGTTATGTGGTGTTAGGGTGTTGATTGTGTTAGGTGGTGTTAGGTGGATGGTGTTCGGTGGTGTTAGAGGGTGTTATAGTGTTAGATATCCCTACGCAGCAGATACGCATTCCAACACACGTATCTGAGGGTGAAAGACAGGTGTTAGATGGTGTTAAGTGGTGTTAGGTGGTGTTAGGTGGTGTTAGGTGGTGTTAGATGGTGTTAGGTCCTACGCAACAGGTGAGGGGAGAGTGAGGTATATGAGAGGAGAGAGAGAAAGATGGTATATGAGGGAGGAAGGGAACCTATAAAGGAGAGGGAGAGGTATAGGTGCAGACCTAAGAGAGAGAGAGAGAGAGAGAGAGAGAGAGAGAGAGAGAGAGAGAGAGGAATTATACAGCAGGGAGAGTTAGGGTTAGCTCTCCTACACCTCTCCCTTTACACAGATAATATGGAGTTGAGATGTTGGACTGTCTCTTTTGTTGTGTAGTGATGTGCTGTGCTGTGTAGTGATGTATAGTGGTGTGGATGTGTAGTGATGTGTGGTGATGTAGTGATGTGTAGTGGTGTGGGGATGTGTGGTGATGTGTGGTGTAGTGATGTGTGGTGTGTGTGGGGATGTGGTGGTGTGTATAGTGGTGTATGGTGGTGTGTAGTGATGTGTAGTGGTAGTGATGTGTAGTGTGTGATGTGGTGTATAGTGGTGGGATGTAGTGATGTGTGGTAGTGTGTATAGTGGTGTATGGTGTGTAGTGATGTAGTGATGTATATAGTGTGTGGTATGTGTAGGTGTATAGAAAAGGGAAATACGGAACAAAATTAAACTAAGAAAATAAGAATAACTGAGAACAAGGGATAATTAAAGGGAGAGAGAGAGAGAGAGAGAGAGAGAGAGAGAGAGAGAGAGAGAGAGAGAGTAAACACAGGCGCCAGGTATCAAGGTAAATTAATTAAAACAGAGGAATGTATCATCATATTAAATTCATTTTGGCACACATGAATACATACATACACACTATACATACATCCATACATACATACCTACATACTATACATACATTCACACACATACGCACATACAGTCATACACATACGCACATAGGTAGATAGATCGATACGCATGAGTATATAAACAGCAATTAAGTATTAAGGAGGGAGTTCGGCCACTATATCTACCCTGTGTAGCATAGAGTTAACAGATAGATGGATAGATAGATAGATAGATAGATAGATAGATAGATAGATAGATAGATAGATAGATAGATAGATAGTGGATTTCCATCATCCCTCTTACCCACACACTCCACCATGCTATCATCCCTCTCATCCCTCACCCACCCACTCCACCACTCTATCATCCCTCTCACCCACTCCACCATCTATCATTCCCTCTCACCCACACACTCCACCATCTATCATCCCTCTCACACACTCCACCATCTATCATCCCTCTCATCCCTCTCACCCACCCTCCCACCATGCTATCATCCCTCACACACACTCCACCATCTATCATCCCTCTCATCCCACACTCCACCATGCTATCATCCCTCTCACCCCTCCCACCATCTATCATCCCTCTCATCCTCTCCCTCTCATCCCTCTCATCCCTCTCACCCACACACTCCACCACAGAACACACGTAAACCCAATGCCGTACATAACAGCCAATTAGAATTAAGAATCAGTGCAGTGTGAACAGCCAATTAAAATCAAGATTCAGTACCGCGGAAACACACACGACCAATCAGAAAATAACTAAGACTTAGAGATATGGCTGTAGGTTAATATGGCGTCCATAGTGTCCTGAGACTGTAAGGTGTCTCTCTGTCTGTCTCGTTCCCTTCAACTTTCCTTCCTTCCTTCCTTCCTTCCTTCCTTCCTTCCTTCTCTCTTTCTTCATTCGTTCATTCCTTACCTCCCTTACTTCCCTTCCTTCCTTCCTTCCTTCCTTCCTTCTTCCTTCCTTCCTTCTCTCTTTCTTCATTCATTCATTCCTTACTTCCCTTACTTCCCTTCCTTCCTTCCTTCCTTCCTTCCTTCCTTTTACATACAAAAATCTTAATTACTGTGGCTTGGGAAGAGAAGTGAAGAGGAGGAAGGAGGAGGAAGGAAGAGGAGTGAAGGGAGGAAGAGGAAGAGGGTGAAGAAAGGAGGAAGAAGAAGGAGTGAAGAGGAGGAAGGAAATAGGAAAGAGGAGGAAGAGGAAGAGGTGAAAGAGGAGGAAGAGGAAGAGGGTGAAGAGGAGGAAGAAGAGGGTGAAGAGGAGGAAGAGGAAGAGGTGAAGGAAGAGGAGGAGGAAAAGGAATAGAAAGAAGAAGAGGAAGGAGTAGATGGGGAAGACATTGTGGAAAGGGAGGAAGAGGGAAGAAGGAAGAAGAATAGAAAGGAGGGAGGAGGAAGAAGAAGAAAAGGAATAAGTAGGTGGGAGAAAGGGAGATAGAAAGAGTGGGAAGAGGGTAAGATGAGGAAGTGGAGGATAGAAGAGAAGTAAAAAGAAGGAAGATGGTAAGAAGAATAAAATGAGATAAATGATGATTAGAGAAGGAAGGGCAGAAGAATGATAACAAGGAAGAGGGAGAGAGAGAAGTAAATAGAAAAGGAAGAGAACCGCTCGACTCCCAAGTCATTTGCCGGCTGTGGTTTAATAAGCTGTGGAGGAGTGGCAGAAGAGAGGCTTTAAAAAGATTAGAGATAGTGAGAGAGAGTAAGGGAGAAGGTGAGAGAGAGAGGGGGAGGGAGGGAGGAAGTGTCGTTGTGGTTTAATAAGCCTTGGAGGTAAATATTGTCAGAGGTAACTGGTCCCCCCCCTTCCTCTCCCTCACCTTCAGGGACTATATTAAAATTCCCAGGGTTGAGACCTTAGTTCTTCGGCTATCGACCTACACACACACACACACACACACACACACACACACACACACACACACACACACACACACACACACACACTGTCTCTCTCTCTCCTAATCGACTGACTCACCTGAGGTGGTTCCTGGGAACATTGTGGACATCGTTGAAGACCAGCTTAAGCCGGAGCATGTCAGAGTGTAGGTCAGGCTCGAGGGCCCAAGCCTGCTTGTCTCTGTCGTAGCAGAGGACGGAGGTGACGGGGGTGTTGAGGGAAGGGCAGGAGCCGCACCTCGCTCGTCGTGTTGGCCAGGATCATCTCCAGGTACAGCCTCAACACACCCTTGTGAACCAGGTCGTGGAGGCGTGTGCGGGCCGGTGTCCACCCTGGCGTGCGCCCCTCGCGGTCGCTCAGCTGGTCCAGGATGCCTGAGTCCGCGCGTCTTTCCCCTCACCAATGACCATCAGGTACCTGACGCGGCACTGGTGGTCAAAGCCCGTCAGGCGCCTCAGCTGTACCGTGGGTCGTCCCTCCATCCCGGTGGAGGAGCTGACGGAGACATGCCAGTCGTAGTGACCGAAGTGAAAGTACGGCGACTCGTATTTCTTGTCCTTCCGGCCCGACACGCCTCCGTTAATCGGCGGAGGGACGCGGAGTTCCGCCTCGAACACCGTCCTGATGTTGGCCACCGTCAGTTCCAGCTGGAATTCGCCATTCTCGTCTGTGAAATTACGAGAATAAAGATCCTCCATGTTGATCAGTCGACGGTTGCCTTGTGCTGGGGAGTCGAAGGTGAACTTGACCTGTTTCCCCGTGAAGGCCTCATTCACGCTGAAGTGTTCACGGTTAAGGAGGGTGAAGGTGAAGTCTATGTACACCCTCATGCCCTCGCAGGGGTTCCTCCACACCAGGTACACGCCCAGGACCTTCTCCGAGCGAGAGAAAGTGATGGCCCATCGCTGGTACCCGTAGGTGAGTTCCTTACTGGTGACATCACGGTGCAGGTCGCGCGTCACGCTCCTCGTCACCACGAAGGAGAACACGTGGGTGTTGCCCCGGTCATTCAACTTCACGAAGCGGTGGAGCAGCGCCATCACGACTCGCTACCTGAAACACAAGAGACACACATGTTACTAGTGGCTGACACACACACACACAGAAGACTCAGACACTGGTGATGCAACAGTTCCTTAACCTCAGTGTCTGTCACTTTAGATACAGGAGTAACGTGTGGCTGGAGAGGAGACACAGGGAGAGACAAACACAGAGGGAGGAACACAACCAACTAGTAAACACACAGATGAAATAACACGATGGGATGTGTAGATAACGAAACATTGTAGCGGTGGCATAAAATTATCCTGACCAGCTTACAGACAGACAGAGAAACAGACAGACAGACAGACGCAAGACTCAGGTGGGTGGGGAGTGTAGAGAAAGGTTGACAGACTCGCGTTTAATCTGGCATGACAGTAGCGGTTCACGGGTCCGTCTCTCAGCTGATTGTTACTGGGTTGTCGAATGTCAGAGTTTGTGTACAACTGGCACGAGGTAATTGGGCCAGACATACCTAACCTAACCTAACCTAACCTATCCATCCATCCTATCCTAACGTATCCTATCCTATCCTAACTTAACCTAACCAACCATACCCTATTTCAATCTTACCAACCCCTATCTTTCCTAATCAACTAACCTCACCTATCCCTTTACCTGACCAGACCTATTGATCTCAGGTGTGGTTCGTAATCTAGCTCCTACTGCGCATGCGTACAACCATCAGAACGGCCAAGGACGCGAGAGAGAGCAGCTTATCATCTTTTTGCTCTCTCTCTCTCTCTCTCTCTCTCTCTCTCTCTGTTTCACACACTCTCACCAGAAATATATCGAGTGTCGAGCTTTGGTTGGGATGGCCACTTAAGGAGAGAGAGAAGAAGAAGAAGAGAGAGAGAGAGAGTTGGTAAGGATGAGGAAGGTGACCATAACAGCCTTACGCCTCACGACCCCGACAACTAGATGGCGCTGTTAGTCACGCTCGGGGGAGAAGGAAGGAGGTGGAGGAAGGGAGGGAAGGGAAGAAAAAGGAGGGGAGAGGTAAGAGGGAGGAAGGTGAGTGAAGGAGGCAGAGAGAGAGAAGGGGGTTAGAAGGAAGGAAAGGCAGGAAGGGTTTAGGGGAAGAAGAAGAAAAGAGAAGTGAAAGAGAGGGAGTGAGATAGATGGGAAATGAGAAAGATAAAAGAGGAGAGGGGAGGGAAAAGGGGAGAAAGAGATGAGAGGTAAGGGAATGAGAAGGAAACAATAATTGATATATATAGAGAGAAAACAAATACGACGAACAATAAAATTAACTTAAAAGGAGAAAGAATATTTGTTATGAGAGAGAGAGAGAGAGAGAGAGAGAGAGAGAGAGAGAGAGAGGAATAGGCACAAGAGAAGACAATAAAAATCACGAATTAAAGAACAGAAGAATACCAATAGACAAGAATGATTAATAAAACATACACAGTAAAAATAAGGAAATACATTACATTAGATTAAATAACAAAAGATAAAATATAGACAGAGCAAGGTGAGAATTTACCTGTCATAATTTAATCTTCTTTCATATTAAATAAACTCTAGTGGTACTTGTAGGTTTATCTAGTGGGTAAAAGCTGTCTGTGTGTATGTATGTATGTATGTATGTATGTATGTATGTATGTATGTATGTATGTATGTAAAGACAGATCGTTGACAGAGGCAGCACTTTATATTGATCAGTGTCAAGGTCACAGAGGTCAGAGGTCAAAGAATAAGCTATTGTGTGATGCGGAGATTTAAAACTTGGCGAGGTTTGATGACGGTAGATGGCATGTATAGTGAAGTATGGTATGTCATACACCAAGGTCGTCTAGCGGGGGAACAGAACAGACACACAGACACACAGACACACACAGACACACACACAAACACACAGACACACACAGACACACAGACACACAAACACACACGAACACATTTTAACCTATTATAGGAAGACCATCTATCAGTAACATATTCAGGAGGGGCTGAGGGCTGGGGGCTGAGGGCTGAGACAACAAGACGAGCATTAGGACTTATACTAGGGGGTGTAGAGTAAGTGAAACGTGGGTGGTAATGTCCGTAGAGTTTTAAACACCACGGGGTCTGTCTACCGTAGAACCTGACCATATGTGTCATGATATTTCTGATCTTTTTATTATTTCTTTTCGTAACAATACAAACTGTTTGTATATTCTATCTTGTTTTATAATATATATTTTGCACACGAGTTTATATATGTAAATTATAAGGTAAATACTAGACTTGAATTTAACAAGATCTAACGCACGTGACTTTAGTCCTGGGAAAAAAATATTCGAGGAAGTTTTATAATATGACTGAGAAGTCTTGTTCATCCTGGGCTTTTACGTGATTAAAACACCTCCTGTGGACGGCACTACACTCACCCACGTCTGCACTGGGAGGAAAAAATATGCGGTTTTCTCAAATGTCGATGGTAGTGTGTGTGTGTGTGTGTGTGTGTGTGTGTGTGTGTGTGTGTGTGTGTGTGTAGCAGTAAAATATTTGATATTTTATGTTCTTCCTTGTTTGTTCTCTCTCTCTCCCTTGTTTACTTCCTTTCTCCCTCTTCCCTCCTCACTTCTTTTTCATACTGTCCTCCAAACCCACATCTCAAAGCCTTTCTCCACCTTCCCCCTCTTCCCTGTTTTCTTATCCTTCCTTCCTCTTCCCCCTTCCATTCGGTTTTTTTCACCCTTCCCCTCCCATCCCTTCCCTTCTTTCTCCTCCCTATCCATTTCTATTTTCTCGCCCTTCCTTTTTCCAATTCTTTGTTACACCCTCTTGTTCCTCCCTCCTCTTCCATCTCTACCTCCATTCCCTTCCTTCCCTTCCCTCCCTCACCTCCCTCCCTCTCACCTCTTCTCCCTTCCCTCATCCCTCCTCCCCTCCCACTTCCCTCATCCCTCCCTATCCTGGTATCATGACATGACCCAGACCGACCTTATTCTTTAGGCCTCATCCTGACCTGGTGGAATGTGGAACCTGTAAGACCTTCTGCTGTCGAATTACTCCGCGGATTGATTTCAGACTCCTTGCTGTATGTTATTTTATGGGCGGGTTTTTTGTTTGTACTTTTATATTTTGTATTTTTTGTATTTTTGGGATTTCTTTAATTTATTTTTTTTATTTCTCGTATTTGTTTATTTAGTTTATTTTTTATTCTTCGTCTGTTTTCTTGTCTGATATTTTTTATTAGTTTTTTTCTCGTGTTTATGTCTTTCGTAATTTATTTTATTTTTTTTTCATTCTTCTGGAGTTTTTTTTTCATATTATAATTTCGTTCGTCTTTTTCAGTTCCTCTTTTAACATTTCATTCTTTAATTTCTTCTATCATATTTTTCTTTTACTTATTCTTTCAATTCATCGGTTATTACTTTTGTTATTTCTTCTTTCGTTTCTTCTTTCATTTCTATCATTTCTTAGTGTTCTTGTTTTGTTGTTCTTGTTCTTTTTTACCCTATCTGTTTTCGAATCAAGAACAAGACAATTATTATTATTATTATTATTATTATTATTATTATTATTATTATTATTATTATTATTATTATTTCTTCCCCTTCCTCCCCATTTCCTCTCCTTCCTTTTCGTATTCCTCCTCCTCCTCCTCATTCTTCTCCTTTTCCTCCCATTATTCTCCTCCTCCTCCTCCTCCTCCTCTTCATCATCCATCACGCCTTCCTCCTTTTAAATCCCATATTTCCCTCCCTTCGCGGATGTAAACATTGCCCCGTTGCCAGCTGTAGGATGTGAGAGGGCGGGTGAGGGGTCAGGGGGCTGCGTTCCCATTACTGTTCATATTTCAGTTTCTTATTCGAGGAAAACGTTTTGTTAAAGTGGCGATTTTGGCTGTGTGTAGTGAAGATGGTGTGTGTGTGGTGTGTGTGTGTGTGTGTGTGTGTGTGTGTGTGTGTGTGTGTGTAGGTAGTGGAGACAGGGTGTGTGTGTGTGTGTGTGTGTGTGTGTGTGTGTGTGTGTGTGTGTGTGTAGGTAGTGAGATGGTGTGTGTGTGTGTGTGTGTGTGTGTGTGTGTGTGTGTGTGTGTGTGTGTGTGTGTTATAATTTATTTACTAATCCTTGTCTGAAGTACATTATGTGACTACATAAATTACTTCCTGTATGCATTCTTTCATTCTCATCTCTTTTCTCTCTCTCTCATTCTCTATCACTGCCTCTCTCTCTATCTGTCTTGATCTTTCTGTCGTGTTATCTTTCGTTCTCTCTATATATTCATCTATCTTTCCTCTATCTTCCCTTTATTATCAGATATTTTCCTTCCCTACCACACGTTTTCTCCCCCTTCCTTTCTCCCTCTCCCCCTGTTTCTCCCCCTTCCTCTCTTTCCCTATTCTCCCTCCTTCCCCCCTCCCTCTCCCCCTCCCATTACAAAGACTCCGGCCATTTCTATAGATCTTTGCCCTGCCATGGAAAAATTGCCTAGATGATAAACAACCTCCTCCCCTCCCTCCCTCCCTCCCTCCCTCCCCTCCCTCCCTCCCCGTCATCCCTCACCCCCCTTCTCCCCTCCCTCCTCCCCTCCCTTCCTCCTCTCCATGTCATCCTCACCCCCCTTTTTCCTCCCTCCCTTTCATCCCTCAATTCCCTTCTCCCTCCCTCCTCGATTCCTCCTCTTCCCTCCCTCCCTTCTCTATCTCCTCTTCCCTCCCTTCCTTTCATCTTGCTCGCTCACTAATTTTCCTCCTGCCTCGTTCCTCAGTCTCCCAGCCCCTTTTCCCTCCCTCCCCTCCCCTCCCTTCCCCTCATTCTCTCCTTTTTCCCTCCCTCCCTCCCTCCCTTCTCCCTCATTCTCTCCCTTCTCTCAGCTCTCCATTAGCAAATTATATCAACTTATTCATCACTCTGGTGGAATAGAGGAAAGATGAAGACTTTTTATTATACAAAGTGAAAAACGGGAACAGTGACGTTGTCGTTGTTTGTGGAGTGTATTTGTTTAATTGTTTGTTTGTTTGTGTTTGTTCCATTCTGGTTATTTAATTTTATGTCTATTTATTTGTTTTTTGTTTATA